TCTCTTTCTCTATGTGTGTGTGTGTGTGCGCGCGCGCGCACGGATGCTCGTGCGCATGCTCTTTGTGAATATTGTTGAGTGGTAGACACAAGCAGACATCTAATCTAATAAGTTCCTTCTGGTGCTACAGATCTTCCTTCCCATGAATCTTCCATTGCTGCGGGAGAAAGAATGTGCGAGACAGTGAAGGTTGTCCCCTACACCATTCATTAGATTTTTTCATCAATATCCTGGGATTGTATTTACGTTTCATCTTTTCAGTGAAATTCACATGGAATACAACAACAACAACAAATTTTTTAGTCCCAAACAAGTTGGGGTAGGCTAGAGATGAAGTTCACATGGAATAAATTCTTGGAAAAAAAAAGAAAGTCTAACTGCAATGGGCGGCTGTGAATTTTAGTTGCTTGTATGTGTTCATGCTATCTAGGTCTTCACTAATTGGCATAACTACTGCTACAGTTCTTGGAATGCGAACGTTGTTAACAATTTTTTTAAGATGACCATATTTACTGCCCCGTAGGTGTTTGCACTGCTTCATCATCTCCATATGTTCTCCCTTGGTAGAGTTTTGCCGGAACAACCTCCCGTACTCTCCACAATAGTTCTTCCAGAAAAATCCAGGGCAAAGAATGCTGGAGTTGGTTCACCAGGACTAAAACCTAATGCGGAGATCACTCTTGGTAGTTTCAGTATTCACAAGTTATATTTTATTCTGCGTTGCAACTTGCATCGGTTTTGTAATGGTATTGGAGTGGCAGAATCAATTTGTATAGTGAAAACACATTTTCAGAAAGCATAAGAAAATACCAACCGGTGAACTTAATCGCAAGTCAATTCATATTTGTTGTGTTCCCCTTATCTCTCTGAAAAACGTTTATACTGCGGGATGAATTTTCCCACCTCATATATTTACATTTAAATGCCAATTGTGGCAAGCTTCAGTATTTTGATCACAACTTGCTATTATGTCTGCCTTCAGTGGACGCATTGCCTTGTCGGATTGCATTCGAGAGGGGAAAGGAACGTTATTTTCAGTTTGTGGCACTCTCAACGGGAAGCACCGGGTGGCTTGTTCTTGCAGAGGAGTTACTTATGAAACCACAACGTGGACTGGTCCGAGTTCTGGCACCGCTGGCTGGATGTAATGTGAGTTTATTTTAAATCTTCTCATTTCTTTTTTGTATGAGTCAAAGTGTCTATCTCGCCCACCCTTAAATTGTCTGATTCACATGGAAGTGGAGTAAAATAGTGTTGTTTCAGATTAAATCGGTCTTCTCCACATGGACGTGGAGTAAACAAATCTTTCCTTATGTGCTTATTAGGAAGTAAGATGAATCACTAGGTTTGTTATGGATTGCCTGCCCGAATTTGGACAATTTTTTGGTATTTGAGGCACACTACTTTATAAAGGTTTGACGTAGACCCTTCGTTCGAAATTCGAAAATTAGAAGAATTTATAATATACCAAAAGATTGAACACTCTGGAAAACCTAACAAAATTAAAACATCAGAAAAGAAGCTGCGATTGGTTATAAAAATACCCCGGTTATTTCTGGTCGAATAATTTTCTTCTAACTTTTTAACTCAAAAATCCAACTTAACTCTCAATATAATTAAATGATACCAATCAATCATTGTCACACATTACAAACAACTTTAATTCACTATTCATTTACTCACATAATTATAACTAATTGTCATTAACTGTACAGTAGCTTTCTCCGTACTTTTACATGTCATCAACTTTACTCATTACATTTTAAACATTATTTAAATAAAAACTCAATCCCTCTCAAACATCACATTTTCAAAATTAACTCACTTTATCCAATAAATCCAATAAAAAAAAATCCAATCGCATTAAATAGCTGATCTATGAACCATAAAAAGAGGAAAAAACTATAAATCCTATAAACCTCGGAAAATTTATATGTGCTAGTGAAAATTGATGGGAACTAAAAATCTAAAATTACAGCCCTAAAAAATTAGATTAAGAACTGAGAAACTCAATGGAATTTGGTACTCCGTCTGTAAAGAAACTTATTGGTCAGGTGGTTGACGTAAGTTTTGTCTTGGTTATTTTGCTCACAACAACTTGGGAAACTCAGCGAATCCTACATATGTCCTCTTATCTACTATTGTGGTTCTGTGTATACTGCCCTTTTTTCGAAGCTCAATCACTTCTTACTACGCTAACATTTACACCTTTATGTTATATCCCTGTTCAGCCCAGGATAGATGATAAACATTCAAGATGGCTGCACCTCCGAATCCGGCCGTCTTCATTCCCATTCACCGACACCTCCAATTACACGGCCCGTGGGAAAATAAGATCGAAAGCTTTAGTGGATGGGAGGTGGACTCTCGCATTCCGGGACGAGGAATCTTGCAAGCGTGCTTTGTCCATGGTTCTTGATGAAGCCAAGTTGCTAAGTGATGAGGTAGAGAGAGTACTACAGCCTTTGCTCGACCTTGAAAGAAGTTTAGACGACTCACGTGTTGCTCGGTTTGTGGAGGACAACTCTTCCTGAAAACCAACCCTCTCGATTCATTTGTACCATTTCTTTATGTGTTCTTTGCTTCGCGCTTCTTTTTTTTTTTT